GGCTCGCACCCGTTCTTCACGGGCAAGTCCGCCTTCGTCGACTCCGCGGGACGCGTCGAGAAGTTCCAGCGCAAGTTCGCCGGCGACTACTTCTCCAAGGGCAAGAAAAAGAAGTAGCCCCGTTCATCCCGAACACCGTCCAGGCCCGGCCACTCGGTCGGGCTTGTTTGTGCGCTGATTGAACGAGATCGGGATTCGACATGGCCTCTTCCGGCAAAGCCAACTCGAACGACGCCCTGCTCGCCAAGCTGGCCGAGCTGTCGGCGCGCCGTGACGAGCTGGCGGCGCAGCTGCTCGATCCGGACGTCCTCGCGGACCACCACCGGGTCCGCGACCTGTCCATCCGCAAGGCGGCGCTGGATCCCATCGCGGACGGGTATTCGCAGTACCGCAAGCTCTTTGCGCAGGCCGAGGAGAACCGGCAGCTCATCGCGGAGTCGGACGCGTCCGACGAGCTGGCGCAGATGGCGAAAGAAGAGCTGCCCGAACTGGAGCGAAAGGCCGAGGCGATCCTCGCGACGTCCCTCGAGCACCTCGTGCTCGCGGACGACCGCGCGATCGGGTCCGTCATGCTCGAGCTCCGCGCGGGCGTGGGGGGCGACGAGGCGGGGCTCTGGGCCGGCGACCTGATGGAGATGTACCAGGCGTACGCCCGCGAGCGGGGGTGGGCCTTCGACGTGATCGACCTCGACGCCGACGAGGGCCTGGGCGGCGTGCGCAGCGCCGTGGTCAACATCCGGGGCGAGGGCGTCTGGACGAACCTCGCGCACGAGGCGGGTACCCACTGCGTGAAGCGCGTCCCCGCGACCGAATCGCAGGGGCGCGTCCACACCTCCACCGCGACCGTCGCCGTGCTCCCCGAGCCGAAGGACGTGGACGTGACCATCGACGCGTCGGACGTGGACGAGCACATCACCACCGCGCAGGGCCCGGGCGGGCAGAACGTGAACAANNTGCACCTGATCCACCGCCCGACCGGCGTCGAGGTGCGCATGCAGGAGACGAAGAGCCAGTCGACGAATCGGGAGAAGGCGTGGCGCATCCTCCGCGCGCGCGTGTACGAGATCGAGCTGCAGCGGCAGCGCGCCGAAGAGGCCGCGGCCCGCAACGAGCAGATCGGCACGGGCGGGCGCGCCGAGCGGATCCGCACGTACCGCTACAAGGACAACATGGCGGTGGACCACCGGGTGAACGAATCGTTCAGTTTGCAGCAGGTCCTCGCGGGGAAGCTGGACGAGGTGGTGGGGGCGCTGGTGGAGCGGGAGACGGCGCGCCGGCTGGCGAGTCTCTGATCATCCGGGGGCTGGACGGCCCGTCGCTCTTTGAAGTGGTCTCAGACAAGCCTGAGAGTCGATCCCCCCGTTCTCAGCAGGCAATGAAAGCGAAAACTGCTCCGGTATTCACCACTTGGTAATCGACTCGCCCGGATCGCGGGGTATTTTTGTATTGGCTGGGTGTTCCGCTCTCCCGGAACTCCAGTTGATTGATTTCTTGCATCATCGATCCGTGTCCGATTCATTCAAGGAGAATCACAGATGAACCCCACACAAAGCTTCGTGCTGGCGTCCGTCGTCGCACTCGTTCCGACCTCCGTTGCGATCAGTGGCGAGCCCGTGACGAGCCTGGTCGGCATCGGCTCCATGCCCGGCGGGGGCCCGGGACAGATCACTGCCACGAACGCGACGGGCTCCGTCGTGGTGGGATCGGCGGCTTCCATCAGCGGCATCCAGGGATTCGTGTGGACCGAAGAGACCGGGGTGATCGGCGTCGGCGATCTCCCGGGGGGCGATTTCTACAGCGTCGTGACCGATGTCAGCGATACGGGGTTCGTTTTTTGCGGCGAGAGCAACGACGAGACCGGACGCAGGGCCTTCAGGCTGACGCTCGAAGACGGCATGACAGCGCTCGGCGAGGGCCACGGGACTGGCGGGATCGACGTTTTGAATGTCGTGGCGATCAGCGACGACGGATCGATCATCTGGGGGAACGGGGACTCGCCCTCTCAATTGTTGACACCGTTCCGATGGACGGAGAGCACCGGCACGCTCGAATTTCCGTTCCCCTTGCTCGAGGGCTATGTCAAGGATGCAGACGGCGACGGAACGCGTGCTGTTGGGTTTGATTACTTCTACAACACGGCGTGGGGCTCGTCGGGCGTCGGCACGTTTTTCCACGACCACGGCGAGCCGAACGAGAGTTCCGCCGAGGGCGTGAGCGCTGATGGTGAATTCATCGTCGGGTCCTGGGAGCCGCAACGGAACAGCAACGATGCGAACGCGTTCTCCTGGCAGGAGGGCGTGGGCAACGTCGATCTCGGTCGGCTGCCCGGCCACCGTTTCGCGGTCGCTCGCGCGGTCAGCGCTGACGGGGGCGTGATCGTGGGCATGTCCCGCGGGAATAGCGTCACGACAGAAAAGGCGATGATCTGGACGCCGGAAGACGGCATGCATTCGCTCGCGTACGTCCTGATCAACAACTACGGCCTCGACCTCGGCGGCTGGCAGCTGAAAGACGCGGTTGATGTGTCCCACGACGGACGCGTCATCGTCGGCAACGGCATCAACCCGGACGGGGAAAACGAGGGGTTCATCGTGACGCTCGGCAGTCAGGTCGCCCGGTGCCCGGGTGACTGCGACGAATCAGGAACGATCGACTTCGGCGATCTGATCGCGATGCTCTTCGAATTCGGCGAGAGCGACGCGCTCGCGTGCGACACGGACGCGTCTGGCGTCGTGGATTTCCACGACCTCGTCGCGGCGCTGTTCCTGTTCGGGCCGTGCGATTCCTGATGCCGACCGGGCGGCTCGCTCGCGTGCCTCAAAGTTTTTTCATGCACCGCGGGTAGACTGCTCCCGCCATGCAGAACCCCGCGGAGCCCATCGTCGAGAACGCCACGCAGGTCGCGTCCACCTCGGAAAACCCTACTCAGGCCGCGGGCACGAGCGACCCGACCACCGAGGTCGCCGAGTCGTTCAGTAACACGATCGACGAGCTCGGGAGCAACTTCGAGCGGTTCGTGAACGACCCGTCGGTGGACAACGCGCTGGCGATCTTCGGGCCGATGCTCCTGAGCCTGGGCCAGGCGATCCTCGTGCTGGTGGTCATCGTCGTCGTGACGATGTTCATCGCGCGGTGGGCGCAGAAGTTCACGCACAAGGGCCTGAGCAAGCTCAAGCTCGAGAGCACGGTGGTGAAGTTCCTCTCCCGGCTCGCGAAGTACGCGATCTGGATCATCGCGATCCCCATCGCGTTCGAGATCTTCGGGATCAAGACGACGAGCCTCGCCGCCGTCATCGGCGCGGGCGGGCTCGCGATCGGTCTGGCGATGCAGGGCTCGCTCTCGAACATCGCGGCCGGCATCATGCTCCTGTTCCTGCGCCCGATCAAGGTCGGCGACATCGTCGAGCTCGACGACGAGATGGGCACCGTCGACGACGTGGGCATCTTCTACACCCGCCTCTACACCTTCCAGCGCCGGCTCGTGTACCTGCCGAACTCCGAGGTGCTCTCGAACAAGATCGAGAACGTGACGGAGACCGAGGAGTACCGCGTGGACGTGCCCATCGGCGTCGCCTACGGGACCGACCTGCAGAAGGCGATGGAGGTGCTCAACAAGGTCGCGACCGACCACGGGGAGAAGTACAAGGACCGCGAGAACGACGCGCTGCTCACCGAATTCGGCGACTCCTCGATCAATTTCGTGGTACGCGTCTGGTCGAAGTCCGACTCGTTTTACAAGAAGCGGAGCGACGTCGTCCTCGCGATCGACAAGGCGCTCAAGGACGCGGAGATCGAGATCCCCTTCCCGCAGCGGGACCTGCACGTCCGCGAGCCCTTCTCCATCCGCCTGCTCGAGAAGCAGGGCGACGGGGACGAGGGCTCCACCGACCAGCGCACCCACCAGGACAAGCAGCAGCGCGAGAGCGAACGCGTCGGCGGCGGATCCAAAGAGAAGAATTCCGGCGGCCAGCCCGAGAAGACCAACGAGGACGACGAGAGCGACGGCGACGCGGACGGCGATGCGCGGTAAAACACGCGCATGCCCACCACCGCCCAGACCCTCTCCGTCCTCCTCGCCAACCAGCAGTCCCGACTCCGCCACGCCCTGCGGGACCTGCCCGACGGGCTGTTCACGCACGAGCCCGGCGCCGACTGCAACAGCATCCGCGACATCTGCTCGCACCTGGTCCGCCTCCGCGCCTTCCAGATGATGCTCATCGGCTCGCCCCTCGCGGACGAGGCGCCGAGCAAGGACGGCATCGAATCCGCCGCGGACGCTGTGGAGCGCCTCGAGAAGACCGTGCCGCTGCTCGAGAAAGCGATCGGCTCGGTGCCGGAAGAGGACTGGCTCCGCGTCCTGAGCCCGCCGCCGATGGCGGAGAAGTGGCCGACGGAAAACCAGCTCGCGCGCCTGAGCAAGCCGTTCAACGACTTCACGAACCACATCGGCGGCATCCGCGCGATCCGGCGCATCCTGGGCTCTCCCGTGGAGACGACGCAGGACTAGGAAGGCTTCTCAGCCCGTTCGATCCGCTCTTTCGCGTTGAACCCGTACCGCGACGCGACCTCTTCGCCGACCTCGCGGACGTAATCGATCCGCTTCACGTCGAACCCCGCCTCCGCGAGCCGGTCGAAGTAGTCCATTCCGTACTTGCGCACGTGGTCGACCTGGTCGAAGTGCTCGAGGCGGCCCTCGGGCGTCGTGACGTCCCGGTTCTCGTACGTCTCGGGCATGTCCTCGTACAGCGGCACGAGCAGGATCGCGAACCCGCCGGGTTTGAGCACGCGGAAGATCTCGCGCATCGCCTTGCGGTCGTCCGGCACGTGCTCGAGCACGTGCGAGCAGAGCACCACGTCGAACGTGTTGTCCGGGCGCGGGATGGCGGTGATGTCCATCGCCTCGTCCGCGCGCGAGCCGTCGAGGTCGGCCGTGGTGTAGTCGAGCTTCGCGTTCGTGCGCAGGTGCCGCTCGATCCCCGCTTCCGGCGCGAAGTGCAGGACCGAGAGCGCGTCCGTGAAGAGAGTCGTCCGCTCGCGCAGGTAGCACAGCACCATCCGCTGGCGCTCCGCGCTGAAGCACCGCGGGCACCGCGCGTTCGGGCGGACCACTTTGTTGCCGTACGGCATAAACGAGCGGAACGTCCCGCCGCAGCACGGGCACTCGACGGCGTCGCCGCGGTAGCGGAACTCGTCGCGGAGGCGCCGGGCGAGTCGGTAGGGGTGTTTGAGGAGGGCGGTGGTGGGCATGGATTTGCAACTCTAACGAACCCACCCCAAACCCCTCCCTCTGGGTGGAACTGCTTTGATGAACCCACCCCAACCCCTCCCTCTGGGAGGGGCTTTATGCCAGCACGTCCCCGGGCGGGTCGAGGGGGAGTGAGCGGGCGATCTCGGTGTAGCGCTCGTGCGCCTCGGTGATCTCGAGCATCGTGTCGCCGCCGAACTTCTCCAGCGCGACTCGCGCGATCTCGAAGCCGACGACGTTCTCCATCACCACGCTCGCCGCGCTCACGGCGCAGATGTCCGAGCGCTCGTACTGGCTCTGCTCGGCTTCCTTCGTGTTCAGGTCCACGCTCGGGAGGCCCCTGAGGAGCGTCGAGATGGGCTTCATCGTGCCCTTCACGACGAGCGGCATGCCGTTGGTCATCCCGCCCTCGAGGCCGCCGGCGTTGTTGGATGTGCGCACGAAGCCGAGGGTCGTGGTGTCGATCTTCGAGCGGTCGAAGTGGATCGGGTCGTGCACGTCGCTGCCGCGACGGGAGGCGCAGTCGCGCCCGAGGCCGATCTCCACCGCCTTGAACGCCTGGATGCCCATGACGGCGTACGCGACGCGGGCGTCGAGCTTGTCGCGCCAGTCCATCGAGGAGCCGAGGCCGATGGGCAGCCCGAAGGCGTGCGCCTCGACGATACCGCCGACGGTGTCCTTGTCGATCTTCGCCTGGCGGATCGCCTCGCGCATTCGCTCGCTCACCGCGACGTCCGGGCAGTACACGTCGCTCTCGTTGCGCAGGTCGACGAACGTGCGCCAGGTGTCCGCGGTGATCTCGACGTCCGTCGTGGCGTCGAAGATCGTGCGCACGAAGCCGAAGACCTCGACGCCCAGCTCTTTCAAGATGAGCCGCGCGAACGCGCCGGCCGCGACGCGCGAGGCCGTCTCGCGGGCGCTCGCGCGCTCGAGCGTCTCGCGGCAGTCCGTCGTGAGCCACTTCACGCTCCCGGCCAGGTCCGCGTGCCCGGGGCGGGGCTTGTGGACGGGCGGCGTGCGCTCCAGGTCGTCCAGGCGCGAGTCCTTGTTGGGGATCTTGAAGGTGACCGGCGCCCCGATCGTCTTGCCCCGACGGACGCCCGTGAGGATCTCGATCCGGTCCGTCTCGATCTTCATCCGCCCGCCCCGGCCGTACCCGCCCTGGCGGCGGGCGAGCTCGGCGTTGATGAACTCCGTGTCCACCCCGAGCCCCGCGGGGACGCCCTGGATGGTGACAACGAGGGCGGGCCCGTGGGATTCGCCGGCGGTGTGGTAGGTCAGGGGGGGCATGGGTCACACAGTATCGTCGAATCCGGCCAGAGTCCTAAGATGCATCCATGAAGCCCGACGACGAGATCTGCCTCTGCTTCCACGTCCCGCTGCGCAAAATCCGCGCGTACCTCGAGCGTGAGGACCCGCCCGTCGCGTCGCTCATCTCCGAGTGCCTCGGCGCGGGCACCGGGTGCGGGTGGTGCGTGCCGATCCTTCGCAAGCTCCACGCCCAGCACCAGGCCGGGCAGGCGATGGAGCTGGGGATCGACCCCTCGGTCTACGCGGACCAGCGGAAGCGCTTCCACCAGTCGGGGGAGCGCGAGGGGACGGTGACGGAGGAGGACGGGGCGTAGCCCGGCGGGGTTCAGCCAGTCGGGCGTCACGCGTGGCGATGGGTTCATTCGCGATTTTTCGGCCTGCGACGGCGATTTCCGCACGGGCTCAGAAAATGGGTGCGGCAACTGATTCCTGACGTGACATCATCAATCGTGGGAACGCGTCCGGAGTGGGACGCGCCGCGGGTCGGCTCGCACAGCCGGCTCGTGCACAGTGAGAAGAGAGTCAACACACACGAGAGGAGTCTCGCATGACCCCGCGTCTGACCGTTGCGTCTGTCGCCGCCGCCGCCCTCGCCTCGGCCGCGACCGCAGGAACCACCACCTTCAACTTCCCCCTCGAGGGCGCCCAGGAGGTCCCCGCCGTCTCGACCGAGGCGATCGGGATCGGGTCGCTCACGTACGACACGAGCGCGGAGACGTTCGATATCGACGTCTTCGTCCAGGGCATCACGCTCGGCGAGCTGCTGGGTGTCGGGCCGAACACCACCCCGATCCACATCCACAACGCCCCGGCCGGCTCGAACGGTGGCATCGCCATCGATCTCGGCACGTTCTCGAGCTTCTTCGATGACGCGGACGGGATCCGCTTCCTCGGGTTCGACATCCCGATCGGTGCGTTCGAAGCCGATCTGTTCAACGCGGGCCTCTACGTGAACATCCACACGACGAACGTCGGCAGCGGCGAGCTTCGCGGGCAGATCGTCCCGACGCCGGCCGCCGCGACACTGCTCGGCATCGGTGGCCTCGCCGCGGTGCGCCGCCGGCGTTGAGCCGCCGTCGCACGGTCTGAAGGAGAGAGAGGTCAGGGCCGCTCCCGATTCGGGGGCGGCCCGTACTGCTTAATAGGGTGCGGCTCCGCCGCATCATTCGAGATCCCCGCGCTCACGCTTGGGGTTGCTTCCAGCGAGCAGATCGACGCGCATGGCATCCGCGT